CTAAAACTACATCAGATAACAATGCGAGGAGCAGAACGGCCAGCAAAAGTGCAGTGGACTCGGCCATTTGTCCTGCCTGTAAGCCCTTTGTCACAGGATGCTGCCCAAAAAATGTTCATTGATATTGCAGATGACACACATGATCCCGAAGAAATTGATGAGATCCTTTCCCTTACAGACAATATGCCACTTGCAATCAGTCTGCTTGCCCATTTGGCTGCCACTGAAGGCTGTTCCAACGTGTTATCTCACTGGAACAGAGAGAAAACTGCTCTCATCTCAGAGGGATATGATAAGAGGGACAACTTGGATTTATCCATCTCAATGTCTCTGTCAAGTCCTAGAATGACCTCTGAACCTCATTCATGTAAACTTTTGAGCCTATTGGCAATACTTCCTAGTGGAATTTCAGACATAGAGCTGGTGCAAAGCAAAATTCCAATTCAGAATATCCACAGCTGCAAAACAGCTTTGATTTGTACCACCTTGGCATACATTGATGAACACAAACGACTGAAAGTATTAGTTCCTACAGGCGTATACGGGGATTTGATACATCAAGTGGTTCTGGGGAGAGACCCACGCTGATGCATCATCTGCTCTCCCCAGAAGTGCATCTTGATGTATCAGTGAGAGACGCCCTCTCCGGAGATATTTTTATGCGCGCCCCTGCCCGCTTGTTGCTCGCCGCTGCTGCCTGGTGCAGTGGCAGTGCCTCCCGCCCTCCCCCAAAAAGGCAGTAGGTCCGGGCTCTTGTACACGCCTACTGAAACCTGGAATAGGTAGTCTAGGTTGGAGTGTTACTTACTATGGGCTTCTAGGGCCTAAGCATGTGTAGTAACGATGCCAATGGTTTCCCAAAACTGGTGGATTTTGGCGGGGGAATGGCCCTGTTTGTTGATGTTAGCTTCCAAGCGCAATACCGCTCTCACCCACCCTCCGACCACCGGTACCGCTCCTGGGCCCTCCAGCTGCCCTCCACCCCCCAGCTTACTCCCCACTCAACCCTGGTCGCTCATATGGTGTAGAGGTAATGCCCTCTGCCACTTCTGATGGCTGACGGTATCAAGTTCAATCCACTCTATGGGCATCCTTTTTTTGTATACGGCAACGTCCACAAGATAACTCATTACGCCCGTCAACAGGGCCGAACAGTTAACTATTTATCCTGTGGGTTTCCATATATAGAGTTGCCACGAAATAACACATTGAGCCTGTGGGCATGGCCAAGTGTTTAATGAGTTATTCTGACCATATGAGCTGGTGTGTCAGCAACAGCCTCTGAGTCGGTTAAACAACGAGTAACCCAGCGAGAACCCCAACCAGGAGAAACCCAATAGATGCTAATAGCTTGTGTGTTCCTTGAGCAGTAGGACCAGTTGTACAGTGTCCTCCCTAGGAGGCCATATGTCGTAGGTTGGGATGCGAGGTGGAACCTGGAACGAGTATGCGAGGTGGAACCCGGAACAAGTCGAAGAGGGTGTGATATCCACTCAGGTATATAACCTGGAGCGTGGATACAACCTGTAGTACAATGTGAGGGAAGCGGGGCAGGGTGGAGACAATGCCTATGTCAAGCCAAGGTAGAAGCCTGAGATTGGACGAGGTAGAATCTACTGTACATGGAGATTCTACTGTGCTTATATAGGCTTCTAATAAATTAAAGTGATCACAGTCAATCGTGATCAGTCCCTGTACCGCAGCATCAAGGAGTGTTAATGCTGATACTCCTAGACTCCTTTGTGTTGGTTTCCGTGGCGTCAGAGGACTTAGGAGACCCGATGTTTGGGTTTCCTAATCCTGAGTCTCATCGTATCCAGTGGTTCAAACCCTGATCGGTTTGCAACCACTCATGTACTTCATGTACGCTTCTGTGTCAGCCGTTGGTGCATCTGGGGACTAGGATCCGTTTGTATGGGTTCCTAGTCCCTAACGTCTTCTGTATCCTGTGGCGCAGACTCCCCAAGTCTGCGGCTTTAGAATCCGAGGATGGGTTTCACCGGGTTTCAACCGTGAGAAGGTCACGTGGTGGCATCATGAGAGTCCCATGCCGCTAAGACATGTCTGTATCCGTACGGACGTGTCACACAAAAAAGTAGAACCCGGGTGATTCATGACACAGTGCATATGTCCCCGCAACAAGTGCGACAAATTCATGATTTTAGAGAGGTATGTTGACTTCTCAGCAGGTTTCTCTACAGCCGGCGCTGAAAACATGGATTGGGGGGGTACACTAGTCCTCAGTTTTTTTTTTTTTTGGGTTGTGACTTTTATAGAGAGAAGGTTTATTTTTGGTATTTTGTTTTCTTCCCTGGACTAGAACGCAGCTCTGCTCTGCCTCCAGGGTGGTATGTGTTCAGTCTCCAAAAGCTGTGCTGTATAAGGAAGTGACCAATAACTTTGTCCACCTTTAATTAAAACGAAAATTACTAGACAATTTCTGTTATTTTAAACCTTTGTAAATCATTGATTCAGTGTTGTGCTGTTGCCTTGTGCTGCTGCACTACTGCACTGCTTTATTTTGCTCAAAGTGTCCAAGGCCCATATTGGTGAACCCCGGTGGTCTGCAGCTTTAGAATCCGCGGTTGGGTTTCAACTGTGAGAAGATCATGTGGTGGCATCATGAGAGTCCTGTGCTGCTAAGACACATCTGTATCTGTACAGACATGTCACATGAAAAAGTAGAACCCAGCTGATTCATGACACTGGGCAATGTGTTCAGCAGAGCCAAAATCAATGTCCTAGGTCCTTTTGGTGGGTACAAGGGGCTATCTTCGATTATTCAGGCATTTTTCATCATAGAACATTGGTAGAGAATGCAAGATGGTCCTCCAGAGCTCTCTTAGGTTGAATATCAAGCCTTCTTCCATCTTCGGGCATCTCGGAGATCTGAGTAAATTCATTTCTGCAAGTATGCTTGGTACAGTATCAGCTGAAGACATCTTCATTGATATAGAGGTTCTGCTGCCCACCATCGTTGAAAAAACCAAGCTAATTAATGGCTCTGACCTATAATCTTGGGCCGCGAGGAATGGTTTCCCGGTTCTGAAAGTGAGATGCTTGGAGACCAACATTGTGGAGACATACATTGGACTGTTCTGATGGTCTCCCGACCAACACCAGCCAGAATCTGCTAGACTCAACTGCTTCCCCTGTTTGGGTCAGCTACGGCCAACAATCGGCCTCGTATCCCGTCATTTGTTTCAGAGTGTGGTGCTCCGGGTTTCCATAGAGTGGTGTAATTAGACAGGTTGTGCAGAAGCTGCACAAGCTGCATGCGGCTTCCTGCAGCTTTTGGGCATTGTGCAAAGCTGTGGGAGCATTTTTTCGTTCTGGCACTAGTACTGTAACCACCCCCAAACTACACATTTCAGTACCAATCTGCATGTACTAGGTATGTGGCTTCTGAGCCAAATCCAACTGAATCAGACTTCTCCAAATGGAATTTTCATCCTTCTCCCATGTCTCCCATACTGCATATTGTGTGGGACAAGGAGTTCAGATGTCCTCACTCCCCCACTACTCAACCAAGTCACCAAAATTCCGACCACTCACTGATAAACACGGAAAAGCTGTGCAGCTTTGCACAACGGCCAAAAGCCGTGTGCGGCTGTGGCACAACCTCTCTATTGTTCACTAATGTGTGAAGCAATGTCACGCAGAGTTGCGGGATTAGGCAGCCTTAAGCTTCGAATCCGCAAACAGCTTGAAGGATGAGAACCCGTACTCCCGCGACCAGGCATTAAGAAGAAGCCCGTGCAAAATCTGTCCGAGCGCTGCAACGAGCGAATGATAATCCGGCTGATCGTTGCTGAGTCGCTTCTTCTCCATTGGTGCAAAAAAAAATGCGAGACTGCCGAGCTCGTTTATGCTGCCGCGATAGGTGTGGAGGATGGCCCAAACGAAGTTCAGGCATAAATAAGGCTCCAATCATTTAGTTTTCGTGTACTGATCGCGGTAAATTAAATAGAAACCGTTTCTAAACCGTTTTAAACTGTTTTTAAACGGTATTTTTTGGGGGAAGTTATCATCAAAGCCACGGCACCTATATATTGTCTCAGTTGGGTCTATGTCTTCCCAAGTTTTGTTCATGAGAGCCGGTAAGTCTGAATATAATACCTATGTGCAACATATGTATGGTTAACAAGCAGTAATTTAAAGATCCAGCTTGGTCAATGATCAAAAAATTTGAACTACGTAGCGTATGGGCTCTCCGAGTTGGTAATGGTTCAAGTGTTTTAAGTTGAGGTTGAATGGGACATATACCAGGTACCGGGCGATAGACAACAAGGGAAAGACGAAGTATGTCTGGTTGAATTTGAGGTCGTCAAGTGCCGGCTTTGACGGCGCATGAATCCCGAACCATCAATCAGGTGAACAATTACCATATTTAGAGTAGACTCCGGCCGTTGAGCGCCAGCATGGTCAGTACAGGTCAATAATTGCATTTATTTACATCGGAAGAGCTCACAAAGTGGTGAAAGGACATTATTGAGCCCGATATTTCCTCAGATTTACACTGGCATTCCTCTGAGCGCTGAGGATTTTCCTAACCGTTTAACTGTTTAAAAAACTGTTTCCAAACTGTTTGAGCCCAGAACCAAATTAAACGGAAATGAAAACGGCTAAAACCGTATATAAACGTTTATAAACGGAAACGGTTGGAGTCTTAGGCATAAATGGAAGAGCCTAAAACCAAGTTGAAATACATCGCGCCTTTCACAGAGCCCAGAAGAGGAGTCGAACCTCTGCCTTCTCTTGGATGTAAGGGACTCCAAATATTCAATATGAGGGATGATCTCGATCCACCTGGGCTTGTGACTAAAGTGACTGTTAAACACCGGGATGTTCATCAGCTTGGGAAAGAGCAGGGCAGCTGAAGTCTGTGATTTTTTAAAAGAGATAGACCCGGCTTGCACAGTGGTGCTTCCTTCGGGCCTCTATTGTTTTTTTTTTCGGTTGAACAGAAAAATAGAAAAAGGAAACAGTGCACAACTCACTGCCCAGGAGAGGACTCGAACCTCCACCTTCCGGATCCTCGCGCATCATGTTATGTTGAAGGGACGATCTGCCGTTGATCCACCTGGGCTTTTGAAACTGATTTGTGCATTATAATAGGTGAGTGCCAGCAGCCAGCATGAGCCTTGGGTCTGCGACAACAGCCCGTGCGATCAGTCTAGCCGTCAGCCTTCCTGCAAGCACTCGTGCTCGGGATCTTGTTCCCGGGATGTGAGTGAGTGTAGATTGCGTGTGATTAACCCAATAGCAAGCGGCCGGGAGTCAAAAAAAAAGAAAGGAAAAAATCTGCCAGACTTTTATGCTCTAGCTCGGGGCTCGAACCCGACTCTCGATTAAGATTTGTATCTATCACGCATCAATGTATGATCCACTGGGCTTTTATTTCCCGAGAGTTTTTCGGGTGTCGTTGGGAACCTAGCGCTGGAGGAATCCGCCGTTAGTCCGTTGACTTTGAATTCAACCATGCGATGAAAGAAAAAGAAAAAAAAATTACCGTAGACCTGACTTACGCAGTGTGGTAGCGCTTCCTTCGGCCTCTGTTGTTTCTTTCGGTTGAACAGAAAAACAGAAAAAAGAAACAATGGCACAACTCAATGCCCAGGAGAGGACTCGAACCTCCACCTTCCCCTGGATTTTCTCTCAAATCGTACAATGTTGAAAAGGACGATCTGCCGTTGATCCACCTGGGCTTTTGGCACTAAAATGTCCAGTGCCTTAGGTGAGTGCCATCCTGTACAGCCTGTACAGTCAGCCGTCGATTTTGAGCAAGTTTGCAATTTTCTTCCTGCAGGCACCCGTGCTCTTGTTACCAAGGTGTGATTCAGACTGAGTGGAAATTGCGTGCTCGGTGTTGTTCTCTCATCAGGGTGGGAATCAAAACGAAAAAAAAAGAACTCAGAAGCGGAACAGAGCCCAGGAGAGGAGTCGAACCTCTGCCTTCCCTTGGATATCAAACACCCAGCGACATCACATATATGAGAGGGATGATCTGCCTTGATCCACCTGGGCTTTTGGCACTGGCTTGTCCATTTTATAGGTGAGTGCCAGCCTGAGGGACATCGGCGGCCGTCAATTTTGAGCGGGTTTGCAAGTTTCCATTAGCCTTTTTTTCCCGGGTGTGGATTGCATGAAACTCTACTTAATATCGCAAGCGACCGGGAGTCCAAATAAATACGAAAACGGGGGGAAAATCAGACGCACCGAACATATGGGTGTCGAACCCGACTCCCGACACCTCGTGTCCGTCTCTACAGCACGCGTTGATGTACGGACAGTGATCCACTGGGGTTTTATTCTCCTGGGATTTTGTCGGGTATTGTTGAGGATGCTGGAGGAATCCGAAATTACTTACTCCGAGTTGAACTTTGAACCATGCCACGATGCGATAAACCATGCCAAAATGATGGGTCGATCTTGAGTGGGTTTGCAAGTGGGACGGACTCGTGCTCGTGGCGTCATTATGCCCAATAATCAGCTATTGGTTTGGATAGATTCTCCCGCAGGCGGCGCCGGGTGGCCGAAGAGAAAAGCAAAAAGACACTCATCTCGCCTCACGCCCAGCTCGGGTGTCGAACCCGACTCTGCACACTGCATACACTCTGCAGTACGATCCAGTACAGTGGATCCACTGGGCTTTTATTTCTCTGAGTGGTTGACGGATATTGTTGGGAACCTGAAAGCTAGCGCTGGAGGAACGTGCAATTAGCGAGGCGACGCGACTTTGAACTCTTGAGTCCATGCGACGAACCGTGCGAAAATGAGAACGACCCACATGACCCGGGCCGTTCCGAGGCTTCTCCTTTCGTCATACTGTGCCTCCTGCTCTCACTGCAAAGTCTTGACGCCGGGCTTGACTTGGTGGACCTGCCATCGACGCCGAGTTTCTCGTAGCTTCTTGGTATCATATAGCGCTGTGGACTCTTGCGAATCTCTGGACAATTCTAGGACTCTTGTATTGGGCATACTTAACACAAAGATCGCACTGCACAACTCCTGTCTGTCTCATCTAGGTCTTAGCTCATCTGAAGTCCTGAAAAATTCGTGTCCACGATGGCCACCGTCGCATCGATGCCCTCCTTCCCCTCTCCATCCCCCCGCACGCGCTCGCGCTCCCCCGTGAAAAGCACACCCGCCAGCCCCGAGCTGCACCGCAAGACCTCTTCGTCCTCCCTATCTCAGTCCTTTGACACGGGCGCCGGCATCCCCCGCCCCCCCTCCGCGGCCGACCTCCGCCCCAACGCGCACCCCTACCCCATCGCCACGACCGCCACCGGCGTGCTCTCGCGCACGAACTCGCTCTCGTCCCCGGCGGGCGGGAACAGCGGGAAGCACCACTACGTGCCCGTGCCGCCGTCGCCCGCGAAGGAGGAGCGCTTCTTCGACGACGGGGCGCGCGACGGGGGCGCAGGAGCAGGATCCGGAGGAGGGGGGAAGGGACGGGACGAGAGGCGGCGTGCCGAGTACCGCGGGCATCGGTACAGCCGCAGTCTGAGCAGCAGCGAGGATATGTACCTCCCCTCGTCGCCTTCCGGCAAGGGCGAGCAGCATGGTGGGAGCGGCAATGGGAATGGGGGCGGGGGAGGGCAGGGCCCGCGCGCGCTGCCGGTCCCGCCGGGGGTGAGCGCGAACAGTATTGCGGCCAAGAATGCGGAGAGGAAGGGCGGGTATAGTGCGTATGCGGCGAGTGGTGAGCGATTGCGTCTTCTTTGTGCTTTCTCTCTTTCATCCTTGCGCATTCTATCCTTCCTACTTTTTCGTGTACCTCCTTCTATCCCATCTCTGCGTTCCCATTCTCCCATTTTCGCGTACCTCCAGGCTAATCCCCTCCTCACCCTCACCCACACTTCCTTCGCCTCCTTCCTTCCCTCCTCCCTTTCCACCTTCTCATCCCTTCCTTCTCCCCCCTCCTCGCTTCTCATTCCCCACCACTGACCCTTCCTCCCTACAGGAACCTCCCCGAAACGATGGACCCCCGCGCAGCTCGCGGCGCACCTGAACCAGACCGTCTCGCCCGAGGCGGGCGCGTGGGCCGCGCGACGGAACGTCGGCGGGAAGGCGTTCATGCGCATGGGCGAGATGGGCGAGGAGGAGTTTGGCGGGAGTGGGTGAGTGGATTGTTTTTTTGGGCGTTTTTTGGGGGGGCGTTGCCATCTTGTGCATTCCCTCCTATGCTGTTCTTCGTCCTCTCGCCTTTCTCTTCACCTTCCATCCCCCGCATATCATCTCTCCGCCTGATCGATTTATCCACTTTCACATGGGGCACCTCACGTTTCATCCCAGTCCCTCCCCTCGCATCGTTCTTCCAGCCCCTTTCCTTCTTTCCCTTCCCCTCGCTTCCGTCCCTTTCTCTTCCGTCTTCCCTTCCCTATCCTATTCCGCACTCCCTCTCCCTCTCTTCTCCTTGTCATGATAACCCTACTATCCTCCTCTCCCACCCCCACCCACAGCGGCTTCCGCTCGTCCGGCGCATTGTACGGGTTTACTTCTCCCTTGCGCCCCTCTCGTTTCTCGCCTTCCTTTCTCTGTTCTTCCCCTTCTCTTAATGCCATCCGCTATATCGAATAGCTCATGCCCTCCCACAGCGCACCCCCCGCCCTCCGCCCCGCCGCGCGCGCGCTCCGGCAGGAGGTCCTCGAGAACCAGATCCAGAACCACGAAAAGCCCTCGCCCACCTCTTCCACCTCCGACGACGAGGGCGGGCAGCGCCGCGCGCACTTCCGCTACGGCTCCCCGACGCGCGGGCGCGTGTCGGCGGTGTACGAGGAGCCGGGGGAGATCGACGAGGGGGACGCAGAGGGCGAGGAAGACGGAGACGGCAGTACGCCCTCGCACCGCAGACGGACGATGAGCGTGCCCGTTGCGTCGCCCTTCGCGTCCTCAGCAAACTCGAATTCGCATTCGCGGCAGTCCCCGTTCGCCGCGCGGTACGAGTACCCCGGCGCCCGCGACGGCGGGGAAGCGAGCCCGAGCCCGAGCCCCTCGCCGACGGGGCGGTTCAGGAACGGGCGCGTGAAGGGGATGGTGCGCTCGTTTGAGAGCAGCGGGAGCGAGAGCGGGTCGCCGGAGAGGGAGCGGGAGCGGGGGAGTGGGAGCGGGTTCCGCGGTGGGGGGAGTGGGTTCAGACGCAGGGGGAGCGACGCGGAGGACGGGCCGGATGCGGTGGGGGGGACGGTGCGCGCGCATGCGCATCAGGGACAGGGACAGGGACAGGGCCAAGGGAGGGCGCTGCCCGCGCGCCCGGACGGGGCGGACGCGGGTGTGGATCTGGGCGCGACGGTGCGCGCGCCGGCGCCGGCGTACCCCCCCGCGGCGCTCGGGACGGTGCACGCCCGCAACGGGTTCCTCAACGACAACAACACGAATGCCGCCGACGACGAGGAGCTGACGGTGGAGGAGCTGCTGGCGCGCGAGGACGCCGCTGCGACGGGGCAGCCGATGACGCCGAGCCACACGGGCGGGGCGTGGCGGCAGAGCAAGCGCGGGATCACGCCGCAGTCGACCGGGGAGAAGCTGAAGCAGCACCCCACGGGCGGGCGGCCGCTCCCCGCGCACCCGGCCTCCGCCTCGGCGCACGGGCACGCGCCTGCGCCGCACGCGCAGCGGACGAGCAGCGGGGGGGTGCACGCGTGGGAGGCGGACGACGCGGCGGTGGGGAGCACGATGAAGTGGGTGCCTGCGCGGCCGGATGTGGGGCGGCTGTTTGAGGTAGAGGCGCCGACGCAGGAGGCGGAGGGAGAGGAGGAGGTGGGTCTGGGTCTGAGTCTGGAGGATAAGGCCCCGATAGCGCACGCGCGGGCGGAGGGGAGGGAGTTGGGGTTGGAGGCGGGGGTGCGGGCGGCAAGGCGGGAGGAGCAGCTGAAGCGCGAGGCGGACGCGGAGGAGCGCGGGCGGGCGCGGGGGGCGGCGGTGCGGGCGCAGCTGGCGGAGGCGGCGGAGCTGCGCGGGATGGTGGATGCGTTCCGCGCGCGGCTGGAGGAGGTGGAGCGGAAGGTAGGGGAGATGGAGGTGGCGGCGGGGGATGCGCAGGCGAAGACGCTTGCTGCGCCTACGACACCGAGCACGCCCTCGGGC